TACAGTTTTGTACAAATCCTCAAATTTGAATAGTCAGAACAGGAATTCCCAGCCACAGGTGATTAGTTTGCATACAACTTATAAACGGATACCCATGAATACTAATGCGATCATGTTGGCTGCACACAGAAAAGCTTCCTCTCTTGAATCAGCTCTGTCCTTAATTGAACCCAACAGGGTTTAATCCTAAAAACACAGTTCGTCTTCCCTGCCCTCGATAATAAATGAAAACTGAAGTCATTAACCAATTAACCGATAGATGGGCTGTCATTCCAACCCACCTAATGATAGTTTAAAGTTATAAGGCATATTTTAAATATACTGCAGTGTCAATATGGCCTGCTGCATTTAATTAAGGGTTTGATGGATTACGACACACACTAATTATCAAAAAAGTAGCTGCAGTCTGTGGCTTTATGTTCTAAATGAAGTTTTTTCTTCAAACCAAGGCTTTTTTCCATTCAGTACATGGACGTTACGTCGATCATTTAAAAAAAAATGAAATAAAAAATTCTGATGTTGTTATTCTGATATTAGTTTGTCCACAGGCAGAACCGCAGCATGTCTGTTCTCATTCGAGTGTAAAGGCCTTTGGCTGCGGTCATGGCCAAGCTGAGGTAGAGTATAATTGGCATTTTATTTCATTAACTCTAGACCGTTATTACACGGGTAAGGTTAACGGAGAAATAAGCATCTATTAGGACTGCCGCTGCCCTCTTTTCTATCCTGACCTTGAATAGCTCAATAATAATAATCGTTCTTTTGACAATGTAACTATTACAATCTTCTCTTAATGCCACAGCATTTCCCAGTTTCCACCTTCCCTCGGAGGACCTGTAAAATTTGTGACCTTCACTTCCAATGATACGCAGCAGCTCCCAGTGAACACAGAAATCGGTTCTGAAATGCAAAAAAATTAAAACACTCCATCTGCACACTGTCAGGGAAATGTTTCTATTACAGTGAAAGATGATGCAAAGCACTCATCGTTCTCTATATGTAACTCCCAGACCCATAGTATTTGTGTAGGTAATGTCAAAAAATAAATAAATAAATATAAACTAATGTTAGTAAACTAATTGTGATATTTCCGTTTTCAATATATAGAGTAAACAAATGTATATATACAGTTTTTATACAATTTTATATACAATTTGTGAATTTGTGAATTATTACAATACAAAAAAACAGTTTTATATTTTAATATATTTCGAAGTGTAATTTGTTCCTGTGATGGCAAAGCTAAATTTTCAGCATCATTACTTCAGTCTTCAGTGTCACATGACCCTTCAGAAATCATTCTAATATGCTGATTTGCTGCTCAAAAATTACTGATTATTATCAGTGATGAAAACATTTCTGCTGCTTCATATTTTGGGGGAAAATATGAAGCAGCAGATAAAGTATTTTTTTCTTTTTTAGGATTCTTTGATGAATACAAAGTTCAAATAAACATCATTTATTTGAAATAGAAATATTTTGTAACATTATAAATGTATTTAGTGTCACCTTGGATCAATTTAAAGCATCCGTGATAAATAAAAGTATTAATTTGTTTTCTTACTTGACCCAAACATTGGAATGGTAGTTTATCACATTCTCCACAAAAAATATGAAGCATCACAACTGTATTTAACATTGATAATAATCAGAAAAGTGTCTTGAGCAACAAATACGCATACAAGAATAATTTCTGAAGGATCATGTGACACTGAAGACTTGAGTAATGATGATGACAATTCAGCGTTTCATATAAATAAATTACATTTTACAATCTATTCACATAGAAAACAATTTTAAATTGTAACAATATTTTAAAAAAATTTAATGCAGCCTTGGTGAGCAGAAGAGACATTAAAAAAATATATATATATATATACGCAGTGGTGTGAAAATTTTTTGCTCTTGTATTTATATATTTTTTTTGCATATTTGTCACACTTGAATGATTCAGATTATCAAACACATTTTAATAGTACACGAAGATAACCAGAGTAAAAAAAAAATGCAGTTTTGAAATAATGACTTCATTTATTAAGGGAAAAAAGCTGTCCAAACCTGACTGGCACTACGTGAAAAAGTAATTGCCCCCTAAATCGAATAACTGGTTGTGCCACCCTTTGCAGCAACAACTGCAATCAAGCGCTTGCTAAAACTGGCAATGAGTCTTTCACATCGCTGTGGAGGAATTTTGGCCCACTCTTCTTTGCAGAATTGTTTTAATTCAGCCACATTGGAGGGTTTGAGAGCATAAATGGACTGTTTAAGGTCATGCCAAAACATCTCAATCAGATTTAAGTCCGGACTTTGACTTGACCACTCCAAAACCTTTTTGTTTTCTTGAGCCATTCAGAGGTGGACTTGCTGGTGTGTTTGAATTATGGCAAGTCATCCGGGTCCTGAAGCTGCAAAGCAGCCCCAGACCATCACTCTACCACCACCATGTTTGACTGTTGGTATGATGTTCTTTTTTATGAAATGCTGTGTTGGTTTTACGTCAGATGTAACGGGAAACATCTTCCAAAAAGTTAAACTTTTGTCTCATCAGTCCACAGAATATTTGCCCAAAAGTCTTGAGGAAAATCAAGATACTTTATGGCAAATGTGAGACGAGCCTTTATGTTCTTTTGGTCAGCAATGGCTTTTGCCTTGGAACTCTCCCATGAATGCTGTTTTTGCCCAGTCTCTTTCTTATTGTTGAATCATGAACACTGACCTTAATTGAGGCAAGTGAGGCCTGCAGTTCTTTAGATTTTTTTATAGATTTTTTTATTTGTTGACATTTTTAATGCATTGTCTATATATGGTATAAAATGTGTGACCTTCACTTCCAATGATAGGCAGCAACTCCCAGTGAACAATGAAACTGGTGCTGAAAAGCAAAAAATTAAAATACTCCATCTGCATACTGTCAGGCAAATATTTAGATTACAGTGAAAGAAGATGCAAAGCACTCATCTTTTTCTATATGCAGCTCCCAGGTCCATATAGGTAACATCACAACAAAACATCTGAAAAAAAAAAAATACGACAGAAAAACTCATTAAAAGACAAAAGACATGCTATCCACAGTCGCACGTGATAAACTAATTGCGACGACTAGGAGAATGTTAAACTGCTGAGAGAGGCAGAAGCAGGAATGAAGACATTTTGCTTGTGCCTGCACAAGTTAGCGAGTCATACATTTGGTGGAACCTTTTATCTTTCCATGCTAAAACATTGTTCAGAGTGTTCACCTCCTCCAATCCCCTACTGGTGGAACTAGACTTTCAACCCTCACTTCAAATACAAGGGAAATTGCTTAAAAGGCAGAAAAGTTTGTTAGCAAATGCATTTTTTCAAGTTTGAAGCTCTTTAAACAAAAGGATGTTCTATAAAACACTATTATTTAAATTAAGAACAATGTCTGGAGGCCAGCGTCGGATCAAAGAATGCTTAAGTACTGTAGTGTACAGTTGATCTTGCATCAGCTACAAATAGGGGTATTAAAATCAAAGGGTTAATCTAGATTAGCACATGTAAGGATAATGGTTGGGACTAACACCGCCAAACAAATGTTGCTTTGTGTGTTCAGCCTCAAGTAGGGGTGACCCAGAAACATCAGAGTCATGCCATGCCACTGCGCCCTTGAGCAAGTCACTTAACCCTACAACACTCCACAGAGACAGGCCCTCAAATTACTGTTCTCTAATGGCGCTTTTCCACTGCATGGTACGGCACGGTACGGCTCGGTACAGCTCGGTACGGTTCACTTTTTGGGGGTTTTCCACTGGGTACAGTACCTGGTACTTTTTTTTAGTACCACCTCGGTTGGGGTTCCAAGTGAACCATACCTTTACTAAAACGTGATGTGTAAACTCTGCTGATCACTGATTGGCCGGAGAGAATCGTCACTACCTGCGTCACTGAAC